ACTCCCCATCCTCGTTTTGAATAGGCTTCAAGATTGATATCAGGAGTATCCCTGGATAGCTTGTGAAGTACCAAAACCTTGTAAGCTACATGGAGGGTGAGGCAGATGTAATTTGGCCCATCTCAAAGAAAACAATTTGTTATTCAGATCAACAACAACAAAAAAGATTAAGGAAGCATTATGTGGCACCCTTGTGCAAAAAAAGATATTCGAAGAATAGTCCTGGATGGATCTGATCACAGACTGTGAACTGTGTGGCCTTAGGCATTGAGAGTGCAGCATGATATCAGACATCTGATTGTTGCTTATTTATGCCTTCTGTGCTTGGAATTTTAAGGTCTCTTTCAAGAGGAGGATTACACAGTCACATTTGAAATATTTTGTGCAGGGATTTGTTCAACAAAGCCTGATGCCTTTCATATTCTCTTAATTTTCTGTTTTCAGACAGGAATCAATGTTTCTAAGGGGTACAGTTGGGTTTGCCTGTTACTGTTACAGCTCTGGAAGTCTTAGGAGTCAAAAGCAGACCTCCAAGGCTTGTGATACGTCCTTTCACTGCAGCTCGGCAGAATGCCTGTCTTCTCCTCTGCTCTGAGCCTTCGTTTGATTGCAAATACACACTAAGGCATTAGGGGAGCAGCAGTCCAGCTGGACAGCAGGTCATGTTCTTGCACACTGCCACAGACGAGACTGTGAAGGTAAGACTGCGCAGGAAGCTACGTGGATTAAGAGATTCCACAAACCGCAAAAATTGACCGAGGGGGCAACATCTTCAGTTCCTGAGGCTTTTTAAGGAACTGGGCTGCCTGTCTTCTCTACTGCACCTTCTTAGGATAGTGAGAAACTATCTGAAGAACAGTAAGTGTTTGAAGTTACAAGAGGCTGATTAAGTTTTGAGGATAGTATGATCAGGCAGGAGTTTTGTTTTCTGGAAGTGCATTTTTCGCTCTACAGCTATTGAGGCGCTGGATGTCAGTGTTTTGGCAAAACCTTCAAACCTACACTGCTGCTTAATCTGGCTGACTTTTCTTTTTCTTTTTTGAGTTCCAGATTGTATGCAAAATCTTTCTTAGAAACGTTTTAGGACCACGTGGCATGTCCAGAGTGTGTCTCCAGCAACGGCAAGTGATTTCTGAAATAATGGCATGAAGGTATCCTTCATGAGGAAGCTTTATTTGTGCCATGCACTATGTGAGCCGCAGCCCTGAAAAAGAGCATAGTGAATAGTGCAGCACAAGTAAAAAGGAAATCCCAAACAGAAATTCTAGGAGAGAATCCTAAGCTATAAATTGCTCATTTGTTCCTTGGGTTAAATCGTGGTCCCACGGAAGTCTGTGGCTAAACTCATTAACTTTCACAGGGCTGATAAACCACCCTATTTGTTTCAGTTTTAAAAAAGGCAAATCCTTTGACATGCATCTTTTACAGGCAAAGAGGCACAACAGTTGTCCAAGGACAGCTCCCAGAATTCTACCAAAAACACCCAAGGAGGGAAAAGGGAAACGACTATTTTCATTCAGGAGGCTCAAGCTGTCTAAGATGTGATCAAAAAGATTCAGCAGAAGCAGGAATAAATGATAACGTAGCCTCCCTAAATTCTTACATTGAACAGAACATGTGTGTAGCATGGTAAGCTAACAGACTTCTCAGAACTGGTCAAATCCAAAATCAAGAGATCGTGTGATCCAGGAGAGTTGACACAAGCCATTGCTCATGCAGTAGGTAGACATTCTGTCTACATCATGCATTGTGGCATTCACCTCACTTCAGAAATGAAAGGAGAATCCTGCTGAGTAAATTAGAATCAGTGGTAATACAGCTGTTAGCTACAAACATTTGTTTGGCATGAATCAATCTTGACTCTCCTGTAGTGTGCTTTGATAGTCTATCTAGTATCTTGTTGACTAACGATGAGATCATGTTTTGTTAATCTAAGTGCATAAAGAAAACATTCTGCCAAGCAAAAAGGGGACTCTTTTGCTGGGGTTTATTGCAGTTGTTTATAGACCTTTTGTTTACATAGGCATCCAAACCAATTTGTTGGATATTTATTTGGGTTACTCCACAGAACTGCAGGAGCACAGACCTGAATCCTGTCTTCAATCTGTCTGCATTTTAATGGGTCATAGTTTGAACAAAGTGGAAACCAGCCTCTTAAGATACATTTCTTGTTGGCCAGGGCTTCAAACGTTTTGTGTGTTATCTACAATTTTCATCCTGAGAGCATTTAACAACTGGAGAGAGTTGTAAGCCACTCTGATCTGGAGGTAACACATTTGGGTTTGAACAGAAGTTATTAGAACTCATTAAACTTTTGTAACAAGCAAAATAAAATTTTTAATCCAGCCAGTGCTTTAAATGCACATATTTTTAGATGTCTAACTTCTAGCTCTCCATAATAATTTCTAGTCTTAAGCCCGGAACATACTGCACCTAACTATTCTGTGTGCACCAGGAACATAGGGGTATGCAGCTCCCATTCGAAGGGAGCAGAGATACACAGGACACGGCCAGAGAGCTCACAGCAGTCAGAATGGCTGCACTTGCAAAGCCTGTAACTGAATTCACAGATAGAGTGGAAATACAGGCAAATGAAGAGTAAAGCAGCTTCTGATTGGCTGTTCTTCACTGGTGTTTGACAGTCTCGGTACTTAGCAGAAGTTCTTTTGGACGATAAGAACGTCATATGAAGAACCTGCCTGTATTTCTGATACGTGTAAAAAACTGTGCCCTCATTGGTACTGGCCACGGAAATAAATAAGGTCTACTGTTCATTGAACTGGGGAAGAGAAGAGACTTGGGTAACCTCTCCCGTGCTGCTGAGCTCTTGCAGCCCAGCAGCAATCCTGAGTTTGGATCTGTTCTTAAGCTCAGAAAATTTAAATGACTGAGTTTTATTTTAATTAAATTCTTGTTAGTAATTTTTTAAAAGGAACTCAAATAGCCAGGAATACATGGAGCAGTGAAGAAACTGAGGCAGGGGGGCAGAGTGAAACGGCAGGGCATGTGTAGTGAGCAACAGGGATAGTGTGGGAGATGGTTGAGCTCTACATAACCACTCCCAAGGTCCTGGTGAGTGAGAGTTTCATCCTTCAGGAAGATCAACAAGAAATACATTAATCTAAGTTGGTTATGGGCTTTCAAGGAAAGGTAGGAAAGGGACAGGAGCAAGTGTTGACATGGTCAGATTGTCTGGAAGAAAGATTGGGTTTGGCAGTTTAGGTTTCATCTGATGGCAAGGAAAACATGTGTCAGTGAAGCCTGAGAGAAGACTGCCATATTGAAGGTGGATCATGGATTAGCCTTGGTTCACTAAAACCAACCCAGTAAAAATTAACACTTTTGTTAAAATGCCCGTACCAAACAAGCTGCTGAGGAGTACAAACCAAAAGCAAGCAGAGAAGCCAAGAAAGCTGCTAGCATCTAAGGCGTCACAGTATTTTTGGGCTTGGTTTCATCCTCTGTATGAGTTTCTTTCTTTCAGTGTGACAGTTGTTAAAGTGAAATTCATAGCCTAGCAGTGTCTGCAGAACTCCTCCTAGTGAACTGTAGAGGGATGAATCTTAAGAGCCACGCAGTAGCGGACTGGGAGAGGAGGTGATCCATGGGAAGGCATTTCCCAAGAAGCAGGCAGGCTAAGGGATGAAACAGTTGGCAGACTACTCTTAATGTGCATGAACTAGCCCATAAAAGGGGGGGACAGGAAAGAGGGAGAGAAGTGGAATCAAACAATATTGGTACCACAGAAAAAGAGCTCTTTTATGATTTTTCAGATATTATTTGGGAGGTAACATGTGAAAAGTAAGCAGTGGTACTTAAAACAGTTTTCAAAGCACTATAGAATCGAATAAACAAGAAATGGTGCAAACTAGAAGCGTCACGAGTTGGCAATCCGTATTATGACTGAGAAGTCATTCATTCGCGTGTTGTCATGGCTTAGCCATGGCTTGTGGCCCCAGACTAGTCGGGAGCGTCAAGAGGTACTGGACTAACGCACGGATGACAAGGCCATTGGTTGCTATTAAACACAATTGTCCACAGGCACTTTTGGGCTCAGGAAGTCTTTAAATGGTTGATTAGCAGAAGCTGTGAGGCTACAGCAAGGAAAGGATCAGTCTGCACATGCTCTCTTCTTCTGTAAGCATCTGTTACTGGTCATGTTGCAAGATAAGGTGCTAGGCTGGAGGGATCTTTGGTGTGGCTATGTCAGGCTTTATTGGGTTAAGGTCATGAACTTGGCCTTTTGGCTCATATTTCTAAGGACTGGGTTCTACAAATTTTGGAAAACATAAGCAATAGGAAGAACAGCCCATTTTCTGCCTTTAAAAAAAACTTTGAAGGAAGTAGATAATAATAGTCTGGGTTTTGTGATTTTTACAAGCAAAAGGGGAGTATATACTTCAAAGGTAAAGAACTTTCTTCTTTTTTCCAAAAGAAACTCATGGTGAAAACATGAGAAAAACCTGTGCTTCAGACATGTACACTTGAAGATCTTTGCTTTTGAACTGATCAGTTTTATCGTTAACTTGCTCAAGTTGAAAGCATTAACTGCCTTAACTAGCACCTGGGTGAAATGGGGGAATGGAAGAGTTTATGTATCTGATGCCTATCGGAAATCCACATCATTGGAGTGTACAGTTGACATACCTCAGACAAGACCACAGAGACAAAATACTTCCATTATTATTTCATTAGAAATTGAAATCTGTTTTGGAGAAGTCAGAGACTATAGTACAGCTCATATCACAGCATTGGGTTTAAAATGTTACAATGTTGACTTGCTGTTACAAAAATTCAGTGTTACAGGAAATCAGAAACAATATGGAATAGTTTACACTAACTCTGTATTAAAATGTTCCATCTGTTCTTGCTTTAGGTTCTTAGAGAATTGCTTTTTCATCTCTGTAATGCTTTTCACTTCCTATTAGTAAGGCTTTTAAAGGTAGGCACCGAGTTAGTATAAAACCCACAGCTTTTGAGTTTAAACGCCTATTAAAACTAAAGCTGTCTGGAACTACAATAAAAATTTATTTTGGCTACAAAAGACAACTTTGAAACCTAACCCATCTGTATTTTTCCTCCTCCAAACAGTGCAACATCCTGTATAATAGGATATTTATCTTAAACAGAGACCACATATCTTTATGAAAACAATTGTTTCAACTTAATTTATGGGGGGTAATCAGCTCATATTTAAGTTTTCAGTATTCCAGGATGCTAATATAAATTGGTTGCAGGACATGTAATGACTAGAGTAATCCCATAGAATAATCTGCAGTCCGATGTTGCCACCAATATAGAATGGAACCTGCATATAGTATAATCTACAATTGTCATTAAAAAATCATGTACAGGCTTATAGTAATTGCAAAACAGCTGTGTGTGTGCAAATGAGGCATACAACTGCAGCACATTGTACTGGTAATTTAGACTCGTGTATGGTGACTTCCAAACCTGATCACAGGGTAATTCCACCCACACATACCTAGTACAGCTGCTTGGTCAGTGAATTTATCGATGCAAATCCAAACCAAATGGACTTACCCTGAAAAGTAGCATCCCTGTGATGCATAAAGCCTCCCACTGCCACAAGTGGGAGTCAATCATACAAAAGAGACTGGATCTCGGGGAGGGGGGGGGCAATATTAGCTCCCTCCATACAATAGTTTGTCAAATTTTGAGTTGAAAAGGGCCCAGTCTAGCACTCTCTAAATACAACCCAGCCCTGAAACTCTCACTGAGATTCCTTTCTGTCTCTCTGCCTTCAGAGGATGAGATAAGGCCCCTTCTCCTGTGACTGCAGTCTGGAGTACCTCTATCATCCCCACCCCAACCCTGATAACAGCCAGTTTTGCACATATGTGAGAGCAAGACAATGTTGAGGGATTTGGTACTCTTGCTGTGGATTGCAGCTTTTGTCTTCAGACTGAACCTCCTCTGTAACATCTGCAGCATCAGGTTCAACAGGGCCAAAGGCCAGGTCCTGCACTTGGGTCACAACAACCCCCTGCAACACTACAGGCTTGGGGAGGATTGGCTGGAAAGCTGCCCGGTGGAAAAGGACCTGGGGGTGCTGTTTGACAGCCAGCTGAACATGGGCCAGCAGTGTGCCCAGGTGACCAGGAAGGCCAGGAGCATCCTGGCTTGGATCAGTAATAGTGTGACCTGCAGAACTAAGGAAGTGATTGTGCCCCTGTGCTCATCACTGGTGAGGCTGCACCTTGAATACTGGCTTGAGTTTTGGGCCCCCCACTCCCAGAAGGGAATGGAGGGGCTGGTGTGTGTCTGTGTCCAAAGAAGAGCCAAAAAATTGGTGAATGGTCCAGAGCACAAGTCTTAGGCGGAGTGGCTGAGGGAACTGGGGTTGTTTAGCCTGGAGAAAAGGAGGCTCAGGGGACACCTTATTGACCTCTACAACTACCTGAAAAGAGGTTGTAGGGAGGTGGGGGTCGGTCTCTTCTCTCAAGTAACAAGTGATAGGACAAGAGGAAATGGCATCAGAGCTGAAGTACATTTGCCCCCAGTTTGTGCCCTTCCCTCTCCCTAAGTAAGCCAAGATACACAAATTATGGATGCTAAAGCAGCATTTATGTGTGCTGTGGTATACACGGGATGTTCTGTCTACTTCCATGTGATTCACATCCTTATAAGCCCACAGGAAATCCCAGCAATATTTTTCCAGGCATATCTCCTGTGCCGAGGTGCCGAGCACAGCAGGGGTGGGAGGGAAGAAG